GACAAACAGTCCAAGTAAGCTTTTAATAATTGCATCTGCTGCATGTAAATTTGTGTATTTCCAGGATTTACCGAAGTTTTATGAATGATAGCTAGGAAACAATTTACTGWTATTGCTTTCAGGAGTAGAATTGAACAAATTACTGATGGTACTTTTAACCAGTGCAGTTATAAATAAATGGCTTTAGAGAACTAAAAATCCAGATTGCAGGCAATGAGCTGGCATTGCAAGATTTGCATGAGCTTATAGTAGCATAGTTAGCTAAAGGTAAGGTAAAGAGTAGCAGAAGTAGAAAGATMAGAAAAAATGAAAAAGGAACTTTCTCCTCTGAAACACTGAGTGGACAGGGCAGGTAATACATTTCATGCAGAAAAATGACGTCCACCATCCTGGGAAACTTCTGACTTGATTCTTTTCAGGATGGAGAAATCATCAACAAGCATTGAAGTGTTATTCATAGTTTTTGGCTCCACAGAGTGTATTTCTATAGAGTGGGAAACTGTTTCTCCTTAGGAAAATCTGAAGATTTTCCCACTGAGAAACACAGAACATATGTCATTGACATTAATTTTAAGTGTCTTTACACATGGTCTTCCAGTCTTCATTTCAAATACCATTCATTATATTCACTATCAAACCTCAGAGATGCTCATTCTTGCTGAATGCAATTCTCTGCTTTTAAGAGATAAGCACAGAACAAAAATATTTATATTACCTGTAAAAAAATGTGCTTTACATTGCAAGAATTTATAATAATAAAATAGAACAATGTAAATCTCAGACAGTTTGTGTGTYGTGAAAGAAGCTCTCACAACAGTGAACATCAAATGTTCCCACACTGTTTTCCACTAGGTAAATTGTTCTCCTCTTAATAGTTCCACTGGAATTGAGTCAATTGAACTGCCCATACAAGAAAGAGGGCTTTGGTCCCATCCAAAATTACTTTCTACTGTAGTTGAGTGGACTACAACAGGACACGATATTAGTATTTTTAGCAGCTACTGACCATTCAACTGTGTTTTCTTTTCAAATATATTTATTGGCTTTTATGTTTCTAGAATTTTTTGCATCTGAAAGCACCATGCAGGGACACAATAAAAGACTAACAAATGAATGATTTTGATAAATTACCCTAGTTCGCAGGAAATGTAGTACTGTGGCACAGCAAAATCACTTTACAAAGCTTATTTATAACAAGGCAAATAATAACAACCCCTCCAGCTCCAGGATTAAAATGAAAATTAAAGCAAAGTAATATGAATCTGCCCTGCCTGAATTGTGTCTTTGCTTGACTTATGACACTTCATTATTATATTTATTTTCATTGTGATGTCTTTTAGGAAACTAGGTGATAAATTAGGGTCCTATTTGTAGGACCTATTTGTAGGTAGGTACTATATAAACAGCAAGACTATATGTAGGTAGGTACTATATAAACAAGAAGAAAGTCCTTGACCTGAAGGGATTCTAAGAAAGGACAATAGACAATGCATTATCAAAAGGGCAGGGAGGTATTGGGATAAATCTGGTTAGAATGGTAGGCTGTTTTCCAGTGGCTGCATAAGTATGGAAGGACAGCATAGGTCTAATCAAGGAGCAGCTTCTTTTGAAATCAAGTGTGTGGGAGGTGAACAGCATTGTGAATGCAGACGAGACACGAGTAAAGATTTCCATTCTAATTTGGAGCTGAGGAATACATTTAGGAAGTCTTTGAAAACAAAGATTAGGAGAAATAGAGAAGACAGATTGAAGTTTAGAAGGTAGCAAAATGTTATACCTCTGGAGAAAGAGGATATTCTTTTCATCAATTTTTGGGGGGATTGTGTAGAAGGGAGGAGATTGCTTTTTAATGGAAGAAACCAATATAAAAAAAATCAATCTGCAGAATAAGAATGGGCAAGTTTGTACTTGTGTCTGTGGCAAAAGCCACAGCTCCAAAGACAGGAAGGGTTTCCTGAGTTGGGGTCCCTTTGTCAGCAGTGATAATAATACAGGATAGAGGAAGACAGAATTTACATGAAGGCTTTTAATTAAAAAAAAAAAAAAAAAAGCATATTTATAATTATTTCCTGAACTGCATGGCAAGCTATAATTTGCTCTTTTTTCATCAGTGAAATAAAGAAAAGATGGATTTACTTACTAATTTGACTAATTTGCACCCTTAGTCTAATTTACTGACATTGGTTTTATTGATAGAAAATACGATCTTTGTACTTTGAATGGTTGGTGGTATGTTTTAGCCTTACACTGGTTTTATACAAAGGAAGAGGTTGGTGTTCACCTTTGGAACACTTCTCATTAAAATCGGTTTCCATTTTGTTTTATCTGTAAGCTGTTTCTTTCCACTYTATAGCTTTTCAAAGATATAGACAGCATGACAGGTTTCGTAAAGCACTTGGCACATTTTTCTTCCCATTGGTGCTGAGAACTGCAAAGGGCTGAGCCCCATGGACAAAAGTGCCACCATGTAGTCAGCAAAATAGCAGGTAGAATAAAAGAAGCGTGTTTTTTTGCCTAAACTCAGCTGTTTTGTGAAAAAGGCCACTCTGCTCCAATGCCTTCCCACTTGGAGTAAGTCATAGCTCMGGGAGAAGGATACTATTTGTTGAAACAGCAATATATGCCAAAGAACTAATATATGTCAAATCTTCTGCTAATGTAAAGACTTCTGAAAAAGTCTTCCATTTAGAGATTAACTAGGCCAATTTGCTGCTAAAACAATTATTTGTGACATGGACATTTTCTTGGCACATAGGACGGTGGTCAAAATATTTTGAAGCAATGCAATGGAAAAGGAGAGGAAAATTTCTGCAGTACAAAACATTTTTTTTTATCCAATGCCCTTCCCCTACTCCAAAATCCCCAAACCAGCTCTTCCCTAAGAATGCAAACTTTTCAGAAATGAGCAGATGTAAGGACTTGACGTCACCTCAAAAATAGAGGGTCTGTCTTTATGTAATGAAATAAAGGCAGACAGCAATAGGAAGCAATTATTGAATTATTGAATAATAAAGTCACAGTTTGTGCTGAGGAGTATTCATGCTTTGTGCAGACACTTCTGTCCATCCTATGGTAGTATACAGGGTTTCTTTACACCTTGGTGTCCAGGGAGTTTCTCACTGCATGTCAGCAGAARTGGTAAATATAAATTAACAGAGACAGTTTGCTGAGTTTTGTTTTCTACTCCATGATAGGAGTGAAAATACAGTAAAAATGCTCTCTCTGAATTTAGAGAGGATATGAATATCAGTAGTCATTATTTTTAATTGTTTAATGATTAAACAATTTATTGCCATCCTGAGAAAGAGGACCCCAAAGCACATTCTGAACTCACATACTCTCAGAAGGAAATGTTTGCTGGGGTATGGAGACAGTGCTCTGCTCCAGACATTTTCATGGCATAGCCAGTTGCAAACATCTGCTTAAAGTGTTGAGGAGCTATGAATTACTTGTCAGGACCTGCAGATTAGCCATAAGGGGTGTKTGGGATCACAGCTCCATTTATCAGCATTCGCTTCAGCACCCATGTTATATTTGGTATAAACTAACCCTTGGTAAGCATTTAGACACTTGTTCATACACATATATATTTATAAACCTATAGGCATGTTTATGTACTACATGCATGGATAGGGAATGTTATATCAAAGTAGAGGCATCTAAGTTACTGTTCTCCTCAACCTAAACTCACTGTGTAGCTAACAGAGAAGAAATAAATCACCCTAGAGGGTGATTTAAATATCTAAAATATGAATCTCTCTTTGAAAGTACTTCTCCACTGACTAGAAACACCTGAGGATGAACAAAGTTACGTACCTGGGCTATGAATCTCTCCTGACTCCCCTCTTCCTGTTAAACTTTTCTTTGAATATTAAAGAAGAGTACTTCTTTTCATTTCTCAAAACTTCTGCTGTTTCAGGAAAGAACCCAGCCATCTCCAATCAAATTAAAAGTAGAAACAAAATAATGTTAAAAAAATCCCATGAGCTTCCATATAGCCACAGCTTAGACAAAATGAAATATTTTGTCTAGGGTTTTGTTTCTAATAAAAACATTAAATTTTAACATTAATTAAACGTTTCATTAAAAAAAAAAAATCTAAGTACAACTTAAGGATATCTTTGAAATATTTTTCTCAAATTGTATTTGTCCTTATAGGACGTACATTTTCTTGTGGAAAGTTTGGCTTCATATCACCTCCAGAAATTACTGTTTTAATACATGAATTCCTGACCAAAGTCTACTTCTATTCATTTATTTTACTTTGCTCTAGCATGGTATTTCCATTGTCTGCAATTCTTTCTGCTCCCATTGTAAGGGAAATTATCAATTCCACAAAGGTTTATATGTAMTCATACATTATGAGATGGTTTTGCAAAATGCAACATAGAGCAGCAGCTTCCAACTATTGATGTGGAAATGTTTATTTTATGCAACAGTTTAGTATCTTCTGCACAGGTTATTGGGAGTCATTTATGCCTGACTTTATGAAGATTSACATATTCCTCTGAGTGGGGCTGGGGGCCCCCAGGCTGAGATTCCTAGAGTGGGAAAGTTGTGGTGGTAGCAGGAAACCCCTGGGCTTCAGGAGATGCGGAAAGAAGGAAGAGGACACTGAATGTACATGTGCTGGTACAAAGGGGAGGTGGAAGTACGGAGGAAGAGGGACATTTGGAGATTTTGCTGGGGTTATTTGAAGAAAGAAAGGGTAGAACTGTGGCTGATTCTTCACTGTCACCACACTGGCACAGAACAGGTACCTACAGCCATAAGTTGTATCCAGGGCTTCTTTTGCCTCCTCCGATGAATATATATATACAGATACAGGCAGAGATTTAGAGAATGAAAGTTCAAGACAGGTTACAAGCCCCATGACATTTCAAATTAAAAAAAACCCCAAAACATGGCATTATTTTTATCAAAGATATGAAGTGAGCTTGTGCATCACATTTTGAATTAGAATGCCTTTTAATTTRCATCTGCATTTTGATCAATTTCAGGTACAAAGCAATTGTAAATCCCATGGACATCCAGACCTCCAGTGCGGTGCTATGGACTTGTGTYAAAGCCACTGCCATCTGGGTAATCTCCATGCTCCTAGCAGTTCCTGAGGCAGTGTTCTCCGAGCTGGCTCACATCAATGACACAGATAATGCCACTTTCACAGCGTGCATACCATACCCCATGACAGACGACATGCACCCGAGGATTCATTCTGTGCTGCTTTTCCTTGTGTATTTCCTTGTCCCTCTTGTGATTATTAGCATCTACTACTGTCATATTGCTAAGAGTTTAATAAAAAGTGCTCACAATATCCCTGGGGAACATAGTGAGCATTCCAAAAGACAGGTAAGCAATTTGCTTTTTTCATCCCAATGAAAGMTTTGTGTGCTGTACACACTTGTAAATGAAAGTAAAGGAATTATAACATCCAAATCACTGGATTTTGCAGAGGATTAGTTCAATTTCCACATGAACTAAGCCAAGGATTATCAGAAAATTACTCAGCATAAATCCCACTGTATAAATGAATATGAACAAGGAAAATTACAAATTCATTGCCATAAATGTACATTCCTAACAAGGTGTAGGAATGGTGTACTGGTGTATATGTTTGGATGTGCTGTTACTGTAACCATTCCAGGTATTCTTACTGAGGAATGATGTTTTTGTAGTTAAGGCTGGAGGCTTCACTGATAAGCAGTCATTTTGGGAGAGAAATATTACATTAATGTTTTGAGAATTGTCCATGTTTTATTTGGGCTTGGAAATGAGAAAACTGACATAAACAGGAAAAATTTTACTTAGGGGATGTAAGATTCTTCTCAGATTTAGGAGTGCTGGATAGGTGAACGTGGAGCATTAACTGATTCTTTTTTTTTACTTTCTTGGATACAATCCTGAATTTACACTTTTCTAATATCCTTTCTGTTACAGATGCTATAAAAYTCTTGGTGGAGATTCTGTATACCTTTGAGACAAAGCATTTTAAAGTGTTGGACAAAGCAAATCTTTCCCGTCAGGCACAGGAAGCAATAAGATAGTGACATTAGCAGGAACACACATACATACAAACAACAGCTTTTGCAGTGAAAGTGCCTCAGCTACTTTGTAAAAGCATTAATATTGATAGAGAAAAATATTTATGCCGTAGTTGGAATGGTTTTCCCTACCAGTGATTTAGAAAACTACTTTTATACTCAGTGAAATCTCCTTGCATGAACATATTCTTTTAGAAAGATCCCATTCCTTTATGTCCTTTTTTGAGCAACATTTGATTTCTACTCTAGTCTGTTTCTTTTCAAAAGTGCATACATATTAGCACTTCATSTATTATTTTATTTTCCTGTGAAATATAGAGAGTCTTTTGGCTGAACCCTCTAGATGGAAACAATATTTAATTTATACCACATTTCTGAACTCACATGTATTTTCAAAGTAAGAACACCTTTTTTCATTGTACTTAGTTTTTTTCTCTTTGTTAGTCTATGAGGTTCAGAAGAATAGAATATTCTGGTGTACTTACATATCTCCCAGCAAGAGGAAATAAATTCAGACTATTGCTATCAGCTCATGTTTCTTTAAGCCGAGTGTAATATTCACACTATACTTCTGCACCTTTGAGTCTGCTCTTGCAATCTGTCTGAGTGCAAATGCTATCAAATTTGAATGTTAGAGTTTTCGCATCTTTTTTTTTATTACCCACTGTTTTTTGTTTAGACAGACCCAAAAAGAACTATTTAAAGTTTAATTTCACAGATTTTGAAAAACTATTAGAATAAATCCACTTGATTTTTTTTTTTCCCAGAAAATTGAGCAAAGTTGAAAAGTTTCCTTCCTTTGCAAAACTTTAATGTCACATATACACAAAAAATCTTTTAGGAGGAATATGGAGAAACTTTATGCCTCTTTTTGGTGCCTTCTACCTGGCCCTCTCTCAGTTTGGAATCACTGTGTGGGTTTGTATCCTGCCAACTTTTCATCCACTCTCAGTATCTACATTGTAATCTGTTATACCAAAGCRCTGCAATCATGGCATTTTTTGTGTCATTATTACAATTAATTGAACCTTTCTCCTTATCCTGGAATTAAGATATTTCAGATGGTGTAATGCAATTTTGGTGGCTTCTCTAGGAAAGATGTACAAGCTGAGACACTTAGTGAAAAAAACAAAGGATAGAAGTATCACTGTATAGCTAACACTCTAGTAATGTGTATCTCATGATATCTCTAGATTTTGAAGCCAACAGTTTTTAAACAGCTTTCTAACTAAAACTTAAGTTTAAAACCAAGCACTGAGATCTTGTCAGTAAAGTTTAAATTTCATGGCATCCTTTGGTGAGTGCTTACAGGCTAAAAGCCAATGTTTCCTTGGGTTGTGATTCACTCTTGCTGTGTGTATCACAGAGAAAGAGAAACCTCCTGTAAGTAGAAACAGCGAAGATGTTTCTCACTGAAAGTAAACTGAAAGAGGAAAAGGAAAGTAAATGAGACAGCAAAAGTAATTCAGGCCCTGAAGGAAGCATTTTTACTGGCCTTACTTAGGATAATTGTTGAAGCTAATACAGACCAAAATGCTACATGTTTTGATTAAGTCTGTTATGTGGGCGAGTGCTATTCCTTGCTGCTCATTYGGGTTCTCTTCATCTTTTTAGATGGAAACTCGGAAACGTCTGGCAAAAATCGTTCTAGTTTTTGTTGGCTTCTTCGCCATCTGCTGGTTTCCTAACCAYGTGCTCTACATGTACAGATCTTTTCATTACAATAAGATCGATCCATCCATGGGACATATGGTCGTTACCTTAGTGGCCCGAGTGCTAAGCTTTTGCAACTCTTGTGTCAACCCATTTGCACTCTATTTTCTCAGTGAGAGTTTTAGAAGACATTTCAACAACCAGCTTYGCTGCAGGAAGAAAGCTGAGAAAGAGAGATCTGCCAGCTACTTGCRCAACTCTTCTGCCATTCAAATGACTTCCCTGAAAAGCAATACCAGGAACACAGGGACTACCATGACACAACTGAATGGGCACAACTTAAAACAAGAAATGTCATTATGATTTAATGGGTGTGATTTTTGACTGTGAAACAAATCTGAACTTTTTCATTGCAGCTTGTAACTCAGTTTTGGCTCTTGTGCTTAAACAGTCCTCTGAAGAGAGGATCTGTTAAATTCTGGCCAGTCTGAGATTATTTCATACCTAGTCTGATTCTCATGTTTCATTGAGGAAAAAAAAAACTTGACTGGTGTGATATTGTACTTTAAAGGAGACATTAATATATATTTAACATAAAGGAAAGCAGTGTATCTGATATAATACTGGTTTAAAAAGTATAGATTTTCTGATCTGAAAATATGTGTTTTTAACTGAATATTGATCCAGGCTTATATTTTCATTTAATAGATTTTGCATGATTTTAGTTCTGTGGTGTATACTAGCATTGATTGTTAAGACTGTTGGGCATTTTGGACTCAATTTTTTTTTTTTTTTTTTTTTTTTTTTTTTTTAAATCAGTACATGTCAACACAGGTAGTCAAATAGACACAGTGACTGAAGCTTATTGCTGCTAGTTATGAAAGGCTGTTTATATAAAAGTTGTGGAGGGGTGTGCCAGAGCTGATTTTCCCTTTATACAGCAGCATAGTATCAGAATAATCATTCCCAAGCCAGGTGTGAGCAGTGATAGGGTGTGTTTCACATCAGTGCTCCASAGAGAAGGTGCTCACAGTGTCCTTCATAGAAGGGTTAGTAATAACAGACAAAAGCACCTTGTGAAAGTATTTTTTATGGCCAGTTCATGAGCCAAATGTAATTTAAAATAYATTTTTCTTTGCAATTGGGTGGAACTGCTCCAGCAGTTCCACAGATCTGTCTCTGCCATAACACTGTATCCCGTACTTCTGCAGTGACTTCTCTAAGATGAATACTAGAAAGTATACTAGAAATTTAGATTGGATTTCAGAATTAGTTGCTAGTCTTATAATTTCAAAAGCYGAAGTGCTAATGCCGTTCACTGCTCCCTGTGTCCGTACTACTACACTTACACTTATTTAGTTCTGTTTGTAAATATGTGAACCATGTAAAGTCCAAAATTTCTCTCTCAATTCCCCAGTCTTCAAGACTAGTTATATCCCTTCCCCAATTTTTAAATCAGTGAGAAGTTATATTGATGTAATCTGTAAATCTTCTAGCTAATTATCTGAAAAAAAATTGCCCAGTTTTAACCACTAAACAGAGAAAGTAACACATTGAAGTTCCAACCAGCATGGTCCAGCTGGTGAGACCTGTAGGAGGATGTGATGTAGTAAGAGTTGTGGGCAGCATTCAAATGAGAAAACTTAGTAAGTTCAGTGTAGACTGGCTCCAAACAGCCTACCCTAGCTGGTTACAGTTGCCTTGTGCCTTCAGTGGCTCCTTGGAAGTCTTTACATAAAGGAGACCATTAACATGAACTTGATAATTAATCTATGTGGAATTGTTCAGAAAATTGTCATCCTGTCATGGTTTCAGAATGGCATTCCCCAATTTAGTGTTCCCACTGAAATGCTCCAAACCACGMACTGCTGTCTCACTCACCAGCTCCCCTTTCCCTGCCCCTGCAGCARAACGGAGAGGAGAATTGGAGGYACAAAAGGTAAATATCAAGGGTTAGGATAAGAACAATTTACTAGAAACAGCAGTGAAATAAGAAACAAACAGTAGCAACAAGAATATTGATAACAGTGCGTACGAGGTGAAGGATTCACATGCAAGCACTCACCATGAGGAACTCAGCACTACCTGGACTGCCTGCTTTACCATCGGCCTGACTGGAAGGAACCCATCCCTCTTCTGCCCCCTGCTTTGACATGAGGTGGTACAGAATAACCTCAGRGTCCTGGCCAGGTCTGTCCMGCTACTGCAGAAATGAACCCTCTTCTGGCTGGAACMAGGACACAACCATAACTAACTGACTCTCCCTCATCCTCCTTTTTCTCCATTTTGCTGCTTCTCTTTTTTTTTTATGCCTTAGTTCTAAGTGAACTACATGTTCTCAGAACTCCTTTTAAATTTTATACAACTAATTCTTCCTGGATGCCAGACAAAATTTTGGAATCTGCTCTTCTAATCAGTCTCAGGTCATTTTCTCTCATATTTTGCAAATATTTTACAGCTGCAAAACATAGAAGTTTAAAGTCTTCCTTTGTCAATTCTTGATGCTTATCATTGAGGGTGATCAARCTTTTCATTTATTTCTGCTAGGGTTTTCTGGTTCCTTGCTCCTCATTTTGCTTGGCRATCTTTCTACACTGCATAGCCTTTCACAGAACTTCTAAATCCATYGTGGTTTTTATTTCCTAAAAGAATTTTTCTGATGTGGACATTAYTGAATGATATAGGTGTCCTACCGGGAAAATAATAATCTAATTTGTAGCAGGTTTGATGCTTCTGTTTGATTCATATTCTCCAGTCAGTATCTTAAATTGCTGTGTATGGTATGGTGGTCATGAGCCAGCTTTCTGGCAGAACTGCAAGCTAAAATCTCTTTGTTGTGAGGAGAAGGTGTTACGAGGTACGCTATAACCCCTTAGGAAATAGCACAGTTTTGGTTCATATTTACCAGGCCTAATATTCAAAGTCTGTTTCCAGTAAGTAAACTAAATTTTATACATCTCCTCTCAAATTCTTGCAGCATGATGTGGGGGAATTAGTTAATCTATCTGGAGCTTTACTAGGCATGTTGCTAACCCAATATGCACACTTTGGAATTCTCTGTTACTGTGCTTCTGTGCACATTGTATATAAATATGAAGCTGTTTTCAGACAGCTCTGTATATGTATGTATGAAGCTGTTTTCAGACAACTCTGCTTGCTAACAATTAAAATGATTGTAGGATCCATTTAATGAAGTATTTTCTTCTAACTGTAGACAAAGAAACAAAGGAAATCTGTAAATGATACCATGTCAGCTTTTCACATGCTACACTGTGATCTATGCCAAAACGCATGTTGAAATATCTCCAGGCTTTTTTTCTCTGTTATGAATTCCTTATTTCAGAAACATCAGTTCTTTTCTATCTCCCTCTCCTGAGTTTTGAGATGGTTTCTTTCAAAAATATTTTTGCCATGATTGAGAAAACTACCATCCCATCTCAGTCTTTGAAAAATGGGAGAATAGAGGTAATTACTGTTTCCTCAGTGTAAGACTTTTTTTTTTTTTTTTTTTCTGTAGACTAGAGCTAGCACAAAGTAAGTCTGATAGCATCTTGTCACTCCACCCTGTCAATACCAGAAACATTACATACACTGGTGAATTCTGAAATGTCAGCATGGGTAAGTGCTAAACAGATCTGAGAGATTTCATTTAGCATTACACTGTGATGGGATAATTATCCTTAACAAAGCCACTTCACTTGCAATACAYGACAAATCTTTACAACACACCTGCCCCGTAGATATTTTTCTTAACTCAGTCAAGACAGGTTCACAGAAATTATGGCCCAGGAATTAGCAGGACTGATTGAGWGGTCTTAAACTAGGCTCACAGGAGGAAAGGGATAAGACCAGGCTCACTAGAGATCAGCCTAAGAGTGGTAGGCTTGTGATGGGGGCAAAACCATTARTGCAGCTGCAGTGCATCTGCACCAATGCATACAGGACGGGCAGCAAGCACAAGGAGCTGGAAACCATTGTACAACAGGCGAGTTATGTATTTGCTATCATGGAAACATAGTGGGATGACYCATGGCTGGAGTGCTGCTGGATACCTGTAAGCTCTTTAGAAGGGACAAAGCAGGAGAGAYGGTGGGGTGGCACTGCCTGTGCCTGTGGGCAAAGATTGGGGGGTCAGCAAGGGTGCACATCGTGATGGTGGGAGCCTGTCATATTSCACCCAACCTGGGTGAACAGACAGAGGAGGCATTCCACAAGCAGCTGGCAGAAATGTCATTGTTGCCTACACTTGTACTCAGGAGTGACTGCTGGAAATACAAGACAGCAAAGAGGAAGCAGTCTAGGAAGTTCCTGGAAYGTGTGGAAGATAACTTCGTAACACAATTGGTAAATGAGCCTACTAGAGGAAGTGTCCTGCTAGACCTGTTATTTGTGARCAAAGGACTGGTGGGTGATTTGCTAGTTAGTGGTTATCTTGGGCATAGTGACCAGGAAATGTTGGCGTTTCCATACTGGGTGAAATAAGGAGGGGTACCAGCAGAACTTCCACCTTGGGCTTCCAGCAAGAGACTTTAGCCTGTTTAGGACCACAGGGAAAGTGTTAAACATAGCAAAAATCACTGTAAATCCAGCATCTACTTATTTTTGAGATCTTTGCTTTGCTACCTAAATAATGATATTTTACCATGGTTTTCTCGAATGCTCTGTGTTGTTTTCAGAGAAGAGCAGTTTTGTGGGTTTAGYCTTTATTGAAACAAAGTGTCTGCATCATCCTGACAGCTTGGATCACAAGAAGTCAGGCTGTRTTTTCCAGCGTACTGACCAGTGCTAACGACAGGCTCAAGAAAGCATTTCAATTAAACATCAAAGCTTCAAATCAGCTTATACCTGGACAGGATTTAGCAGTGGCTGGCCAGCAAATCAGCTAATAAAGATGTATTYCTGATTAATATTATTAAAACCGGAGCAGATGCAAATTCCCAGTTTGACTCTTTTGCCCACAAGTGCAATAGAGAACAGAGACTACGTGCAGAGAGGAGGAAATGGTCCATTTACACASTAAGTGCAGGAGAACCAGCATGCTGACGATCACACCCTGTGAGACTCCCAAATGAGCAAGCACATACTAGGAATTTAACCAGCTTCCAAACCACTCTTCAAAGATGGAAAGATGTTTTATAGTTATTTTATAATGACAGTAGCAACCTGATTTGGGCTAAAAAAGAGGAGCACATTGTTGAGGAGTTTTCAGCAGTTTTCAACAGTGTGCAATCAAGCACTGAACTGAAGACACTGAGATGCTGGAACAAAGYCCAGAGAAAGGAGCGGAGCTGGGGAAGGGTCTGGAGCACAAGTCTTATGAGAAGCAGCTGAGGGAGCTGGGGTTGCTCAGCCTGGAGAAAAGG